GCGCTCGGGGGAACAGGGACTCCCCCAGCGCCTGCTGATCCCCCCTAACCAGTTTATAACAGGCCACAAGATCCCCCCTCAGCCTTCTCTTTTGAAGGCTGAACAGATTCAGGTCCCGCAACCTTTCCTCATAGGACCTACCCTGCTGTCCCTTGATCATACGAGTGGCCCTCCTCTGGACCCTCTCGATGCTGTCCACATCCCTCTTCAAGTGCGGTGCCCAGAACTGGATGCAGTACTCCAGCTGCGGCCTGACCTTTGCCGCATAGATGGGGAGGATCACCTCATACATATTTTTAACTGGTTTCTGTGGCATGATCCATTAAGTATTTTAAAATTAAATAAAATTATACATAATATCATGAATAGCACAACTAATGAGAAATGATTGGGACATTTCTGTTTACCATGTAACCAGATTAATGCTGACCTTTTTATGGCTAAGGGTAGGGCAAAAACTTTGCCTGTGCAGGAAATGTTTAATCCCCATTCACAGAGTATTTCTTCCTATTGTGAGCTCTTAGGTCCCATGTTGTCCCACTTGGCCCCAATGCTTTCTTTTCTCTACCTCCCCTCTGACACAAGGGATAAACTACAGCAATCACTATCCTAAAAGATAGTGAAGTTGATGAGCAATGTGGTAGCACGAGGAAGGTCAGGAGTCTTGTTCTGGGGCAGTGCTTCTCTACGCATAAGCTAGGGCATTATTAAATTACTTATAAGTGGCTACATCTATATGAGACTCTGACTGCAATAGCCCGATATTACTGTGTAGTAGCATTGTGTGGCAATAACCATGATGTGATGCTACTGCACGATAGTATTAAGTTACTGCTCAGTAGCATCATGAAAAAGGTGTTTGTTGGAGCTTCTGCATAATAACCTGGGTTCTTGTGCAGTCCTATAGCACTTGTTTAGTAATAACCACACAGTCAGCATTTCATGTAGATGCGGCCAGTGTTACCTTTTCATTTAAACACATTTGGAGAATTTTGATTCTCTGATCATTTAGTGATAAATTTTTTCTCTGAAATTGAAACAATGCCCTCATCTAGTGTCAACAATAGGAAACAAAGCATCAGCTAGAGGAAACTGGAGGAGTTCTGTACTGTAGACATAGACATGTCTATGCAGCAAGATACAAGAAATTCTGGCTTTGCCAGAGCAGGTCCAGGATGCTCAGAATGCTACATGATCACACCAACAAAGTAGAATCCAGTCGTCAAGCAGTAATATTAAGGTCAGAACACACTACAAATCTGAAATTCTCTTGCAGCTTCAGTAAGTGCCAGACAAGTCCTATAATTGTACAGAGACCACCACAGGGAGACACCCCCATAATACAAACTGGGTCCTAGATCATTCAGACCAGATCATTTAAAGTGCAGGTGTCTTTACACTACACTGGAGCATATTCATGCTTTTGTGGCTATAAATTTTATTAAAACAATCTTTTTTGACTCAGCACAGTTGACTTACGCTCTATTTATTGCTCTTACTACCTTTATAAGATCAGCAGTTCTGGTATGTAACTCAGAAACAGGCTATTATTTCTGTACAGAGGTATTTCTTCTCTTGTTTTACTTGTCATCTTACCTTTCCATCTGCATTATCCTCCCTCTTTTCTTCTCCTTCCACACCTTTCTTCCCCTGCTACACTTGTTTCTCTCCTTCTCCTATTCCACTAATTCATTCCTCTTAAATTAATGTTTTCATATGCCATTACATTGGCAATTATCTTTCACTACCCTGTTAGTCCTCTCACCTATAGCTATAAATCCAAAAATGCCATGAATTGACAGATGGACAGAGGGTAGTTATTTTCCCAAATTTATTGTCTTTCTAACTTGACAGATGATTTCAGGAATGCCCAAGTGTGCTGTGTTGAAGTCACATGGATAAATGAGGTAGCAACTGAACACAGACTCTCTACAGTGCTGTAGGTGGATAGTCTGTGTATCTGAAGTACCCACCTCAATATAGTAATATAAAGAATTAAGTCAGGTATTCTGGATGTACAAACATGTTTTTATGGTGAGGAGAGATACCTCTGTATTTCAAAGACTGGAGATTCTGGAGCTATATTTGTCTAGCAACAGATTTTTGTTAAAAAAAGAAGCCATCTTAATGAGCTACCAGGGCTTGATTTCATCCTCCTTCCACATAATTTTAGGATGGTATAATCATCAAGAAATTGTGCATCTCCAACTTGTGGAGTCTTAAATAGAATGAATGTGCACATATGAATGCGGTGGGGGCACACTTCTCACAAAACAATCACTCCCTCTCTGATCTCTCAGTTCTAATCCTCCAAGGGAACTTACAAAACACCTTCCCTAGTTCAGCCTACAAACTTCACTTCATAAATCTACTGGATACAAAATCATGGATTCAATATAGACATTGGTTTTATGACATTACAGTCTGCCTGATGTCTGATGCAATAGGTACCTCCCTGACCTGACCGCTTACATTCTTCTTTTCCCCCACCTTTTCTCCCTTCCCCTCCTCTATTTTTCTGCCCTTTGTCTCCCTGATTTTCTACTATTTCCTTCTTCATTGAGAGCCTCTTTCTTACCCTGTATTATTACCTCTGTAACATTTCCCTTTGGCCTTTTTATCCCTCTCCCTCCCCTGCTTTACCTTTCATTTCTTCTTTCTACTTATTTATATTTTCACTACATCCTCTAACACTTTGAGCTTCTCTCATTCCTGTTTTCCTAATCTCTAACTATTTTCTTTTTTATTGACAGCCTCTTTTCCAACCTTGTATTCTATCACTGTAATATCTCCCCTTAGCCTTTTTCCACCTCCCCTGTCTGCTTTACCTCTCTGCTTTACCTTTTGTCTCTCTAATTTCTACCTATTTACATTCTCACTGACATCCTGCCACACTTTTAGCATCTCTCATTTCTTGGAGTCTCAGAACATCAGAGACTCCCTATGCCTGAAGAAAGGTGACTGCTCCTGAAAGTTTTCCAAGAACTGTTTTCCAACTACTCAGTTGGTCTAATAAAAGATATCACATCTACTTAAAGAACCTTGCCCACATATCAACCTGGATTTAAATTTCAAGACTAGGAGAGCACATGAATATTATTAATATAAGGCAAAAGCTAGAATCCTTTTATTTGTATTCATAATATAATTTATTTTATGGTAATGACCAAAATCTCAATTTCACTGTGCAAACCTAAAAAAGAGATGATACTTACCCTGAAGTATTTCTGGTCAGAATTCTCTGTTACTGCTTTTGATGGAAGAATTGGGCTTCCAGCTAAACAAAATATTTCATGAAAAGTGTCTGCTTTCCTGTGGACAGTTTGATTTTGCCAATAAACAAAGCATCCAAATTAAATATTTTTGCCAAAATATTTCAATTTGGATGTCCTGCCACTGTTCCTCATGTGACTTGTAATAGCATCGCCTAACTTTCCTGCACCACTTTTCCAAAGGTCAGTATCATTATCCTTGTTTTACAGGTGGGAAGTTATTTATATTGTGTATCATGTTTAAGTTTTGTAGGATTCAATTTTTATCAATAAACATCAATAAATGGCAATTTAGCCACCTACAGACCAATGGAAAAATATTTCAATTGGTAATTATCAAAAGAGGAGGTAAGAAAAAAAACCCAAGATGGATTAGGAAATCTGGGATAGCTGGTGCTCAGGACCTCACCTGCTATGGGGATGTTCTGGCACTAGCCGGGCTTGCGTCCAAGTTTCCCTGGGAAGACACATGTAGACACACGTGTGCGTGCACACACACACACAGCCACGGGTGGTGGCACTGGGCTCCCTAACTCCCAGCCACCAACAGTCCTGCCCCTCCAACCCCCACTCTCAGCACAGTCTTACTAGTGCAGCCCCCAGCTTCTGCAGCAGCTGCCCAAACTGTTGCCAAGGGAGCAGTACACAGGCAGCACAGCTGGGGCTCCCTCCACCCCTCCTAAAAACTTAAATCAGTAAAAATTGAAATAAATGTTTTAAAATAACCATAAATTTTATCCATGACAATTTAATAAAAAAGAATTCTGCCAAGCCTAATCATGTTCTATTTAACCAGAAGATTGCTCCAATTTCATAGTTGTGGGATGTCCCTGGGGGTAAAAAAATATGCATGTATCAGCATGCAGATACAACAGGGATGAGCCCATAGAGAGAGAGATGAGTAAAATGAAGATTTTGTTTCCTTTTTCTCTTCACAGATTGACTATCTCTGCTGAATGCCCCATGCAACTTGAAGATTTCCCAATGGATGCCCATGCTTGCCCACTCAAGTTTGGAAGCTGTAAGTTATTTTCACAAATAAAAGTCATGAATGGATAGTTTTGATCTACCTTTGCTTTTCTAGGACAACATTTGCATTTCTTTCACTAAATGAGACTGACTGATCTGATAGCACCTTCACCACTATCCTATTTCTGAGTTCTCACAGGCTTGGCCTTCTATCTGTTTTGTTGATAACCAGGGATCCTGGTTTTCTCGGATTTAAAAAATCCCCAATTTTCAGTTTTAAAATAGTAATCCCAAATCTACATTTTTCCATGATTAAAATGAAACACCACTAATCACAGAAAAATGTGGATTTGGGGTTACTTTTTTTAAACTGAAAATTGGGGATTTTTTTTAATCAGAGAAAACTAGGATCCCTGTTGATAACTGATTTTGTATGCTTATGAATGAGTTAAACTTTCCTCAATGTCAGATATATATTATTTTGAAATACAGCTAATGGTGTATGCTAAAATACACTACAAACATAGATATGTAGCAATTATCAAAAAAGGAAAATCTGCCTATTAGTCTTTGATAATCCCAGTCCTATACACCCATGTATGCAAGTTCATGTGAGAAGATACACAAGCATACGATTGTATACATGAACACACTATTCTGTAAATCATATGCTGAAGTGATGATTTTTCTTCATACTTTGAGTCTATAATCCACCATAACCCTGCCTTGCCAGAATTTTTCTTTTAAAATAACTTTAGGGGATTGCTTGTCTATATTTAAACACAAAGCCCTTAATTAAGGTACAGACTTGGCTACTCAAATGGATGACTTTTATTTCAGTAAACAAAACAGACTCAAGGTGCAATGAAAGTGTCTGAAGACTTCTGATGTTACCAGCCAAAATATGTAGTAAATCCCTCATGCAATTTAACTGCAGGATTTTTTAATGCACCCCACGCCCCCCATCCCAGTTTTTATCAATTGAAAATCATTAAACTCATGCTTTCATCTTTTGTATCTGTATTACTTTAACATTGACAACATACTGTTTTCTTGTGATGACAATGATAACTGAACATGCTGTATTTACTCAAATACAAGATAAGGTTCCCTCCCCCACATCAGCATGAGGAAAAAAGCCCCCTCATCTTAGCTTTGCATACAAGAAAACTTCATTAAATATATTTTCTATCATTAAACTGATGCCCAAACCAGCATGTTCTCAGCAATGGATACCAATTATGAAGTTGTTTAAATGCAGCCAACACTGAGCATAACTATAAAACACGTGGCCCACATGGGGCAAACACACTAATGGGAATCTTTTATTTTTTTTAGCCTGTAACAAGTGGGTGTCCCGGGGCCAGCTGAGTCATTGGCTCACCTACTTGTTTTAGGGCTAACCGCCTGCCTGCCTCACCTGCCATGCCTTTAATGAGACTAAATAAAAGTTGTTAACTAGGTGGCAGGCTGCCCATTTAATTGCCCCGATGCCAAGGGCATACATGGCTCAAAATCTCCCCTTATACCATGTCCCATGCCTCACAGATGTCATCCATGGCCTAACACCCAACCTATAGCTTATTTGGCGTAACACATAGTCTATAGTGTAGCCTACACTGGGACCCATACTCCCATACCCTCACACTAGGACCTGTACTCCAGTGCCTCATGTCAGGACTCTCACTCCCATGCACTCACACTGGAGCTTTTAATCCCTATGCCCTCATGTCAGGACTTTCAATCCCATTGCCCTCACACTGGGCTCACAATCACACCCACTCAGGGCTCCCAGCCTTTTCCTGTGTCACAGGCTTCCTACCCGGCTTAGGACTCTTTTGGTCCCCTCACACCTAACACTGGGCCTCAATCCCCTTTTCACCCTGGAGCCTCACAACCAGCTCCTTCTTGGGCTCAGGATGCTACCCCCCTGGAACCTGATACCCACCTCCCTTTGTGAACCTCAGGCCTTGCTGTGGACCTGGGCTCTGTCTCAGGTCCCTTCATACAACCTGGACCCCACCTCAGGCTCCACACAGCAAACCTGGGCCCTTGCTTTTTTCTCGGGGTGTGCTCCCCTAGTCTTTCCCGTCCATGAGGAAACCCACAAAGCAGCAGGGGCTGAGGCTTTCTGGGGCCCCATACTTGCCCTTCACTGGGGGGCACAGGTATGGCATTTCTTGGAGACTACCCCACTACTGGAAGCCCAACCACACCATCCAGCTCTAGCAGGGTGTAGTTTTAGGTCATGCCCCAGGACCAGGAGCCTCCAGCATCCCCATAGCTCCTGCCCTGTACTTCCAAGTTGTTACATGAGCAGCAGCTCCAGCTGGGTGGTGTTCTACTCCCAGATGCTTGCAGCAAACTGCTGGCTCCACTGCTCAAGGCCTGTTCTTATAACAAACAGCTGGAACCTTTTCCCAATTAGGTAGTTGTGCCTGCTTGGGAGTGCAACCAGCCGCAGGCTGCTCTGCTGCTTGCCCATGCCCCTTTGAGTAACAGAACACAACTTGTGCTCTGTTACATAGCTTTTAAAAAAAATGGGAGAGGGGGGACTTCCCTCCACGGGGAACTGGTATTGGGGCTGGAGGTACTGCAATACCAGGCCATCACCAAGAAGTCCAGAGCCAAACCTAACACCCTCCCTTTGATTCCAAAAATGCTTAATTTTAGCCAAAAAATGCAGCCTATCTGAATAAAATATATGTGAGTGGCCATTGAGTACAGTCATCCTCATTGCCAACTCTTTTTCAAGTCCTGATGAGCCACTATATTGCCTACATTTTTAGTTCCTCTTCACTCCCACAGTGGAGCTGTGCCTTCTTTATGATTTCCGGTGATTACTGTTTCTTCACTGGCCTTAAATGTCTGGCAAATAACACCAAAGAGAGCCCCAAACAGTTCGCCCAGAATCCTTTTGTCACCCCCTCCTTCACCATGCCTTATATGATTAGTGTAGCCCCATCCTCCATGAGGCGGAGTCAAACCAGGTTGCCTTGCACCTCATGTGCATGTACATTTTTGGAGGACCCCAAGTCTCATGACAAGAACACCTGGTTCCAGTCATGAGTCAGAGGCTAATTAGTACATAAAACCTTTGTTGGGGAGGTCTGGAGTACACGCACATACTGTGCAGTGCTGAGCTGTGTGGTGACCATAGATTGACATGCTGTTGACTTTACTGGGGCCCAGCCCAGTGAACTATATGATAAATCATGAATCTTTTGACTTGGGACTAACATCATCCCTAGTTTGTACTATATATAAGTAGGTACAAAAGTATTCCTTAAAAGTGTGTGTATAAAGTACCTGTGCTAAAACTTGCAGCAGTTTCAAAAAAGGTAAAATGCATCAATTCTGGATGAACTAAGTCTATGGGTGCTTTATGCAAATTGCTACAGGTATGTTTACTTCAAGGTCAGTGTTTTCAAAGTTGCTTTTCACTTCTATGTTTTCATGGAGACCAGGGTCTGACAGTAAGTAGTGGTAGAGGGGTTGCAAAGGGAAGAAGTATGGGGGAAAAAGGGACTACCTGACCCTCCAGATTTATTTTCCCTGCTGTAGCAGTAGAAAGGGGACAAATTTAAGACTAATTTCCAATAATTAGATTCTATATGTGGAAAATTATAACAAGTGTATAAATTTTCCATATATAAAATCTAATTATTGAGGATCACTTTATATTTAAGTATGGTAAAATGATTACCAAATTATTAGAGTTAATTGATTTCCCTTCTTTTGAAGTAAAACAAAACAAAAGCCAAAACCCCCTCACAGGTTTCTTCTTTGTAAGAAATGTTTGTGTTAACAGCTTCAGTGTGCTGTCATGAGTACTGTCATGTTAATCAGTAACAATATAATTTGAAAGTCTCGCTCACGTACATTGTAAATCTTACCTTTAAGACTTAGAAGTAGACTGGAAGCTTCATGCCAAAACCAAACTGTTAAAAAAGGGTTTGACATATTCACAGAAATGTGTGATTATGTGTGTTTTAAAGATAATCATGAACTACAATAAGAATTTGGAAAAAAATACACAAAATGCCCATTCCTGATTTGCTATTTTTGTGATACAGTGGAAGCTTTGACTTCTAAAGTGATTAGTTCATAATGTAGGCTTGTGCCCTTGGGTAGATTTAAGGACTCTTACAGGATGTATAGTACAGAGTTGGGTTAAACACTAAAGCTTTTCTTAAAGTTAAGCATGGGCTTCAGAACTTTCCCAACCGAGAGGCAGTATGATTAAGTTTGCTTTGTATTTATGAGCACCAGTGTTCAGAAAACCATGAAAGTACAGGAGAAAGTAATGCCACTGTTTTGAGTAAAACCAAAAAACATTCAGTGCAACCTTCAAGTTTTTTTCTTAAACCTAATTGAAATGCAAATGTATATACTGTGTATGCTAAGCAGTGTAAGCTAGTGGGGCATTACAAGTAATTTTAATGTTTCAAAGAAAAATAAAAAGATGACGTTAAAAAGTATGTATGCGCTGAATGCCCCTCTAACTCTTACTACTTGATATTCACAACATAACCTTATAATTAATTCTCTGTTAAACTACTTCAGGTCTTCTTTAACTTGTCCCTCTATACCGAGGCACTGAACTGTCTGGTATGTGATATTTCTGATGGCTTGGAAATCTCTGCAATACCTATATATGTACTATAAGTCCCTCAGTCTTCTGAATGTCTTTATTATGAATGAAAGGCCATCAAGGAGCTTGTTATATTATTTTTCCCACAGTGTAATAGCGTTACTTACTGGAGATGAATAGAAAGCTGTGGCCATATTCTCCGCTAACACAAATCCATATGGATCCTCCTACTTAGAAATGAAGCTTTTATACCACTGAGAATATGGCTTCTAAATACTGCATTCCATAATTAATCTTCAGTCACCCTTTTGCTTTAAATTAGATTTCATTAAATGAGATTCGAAACATCTTCATTTTTCATATGGACACAAGGAGCATCTTTACATGTGCTTCAGGAGTGGCAGGGAGGGGGAAGAGGGAGGACTTTAATTAGAGCTTGTTCAGTGAGCTTTAGTTAA